TTCCTAATTAATCCCTAATTAGACTCTGATCAATCCGTGAATAATCAGTGATTATTTCCTGATTAATTTTTGATTGACCCCTATAAAACCCCCAATTCACCTCTAATTAACCCCATAGTGCAGCTCTAATGGACTTGTAATTAATACCTAATTAATCCCTGATTGATTATTAATTCAGCCCCCCAATTACCCCTAATTAACCCCTAATTAGGCTYTAATTAATGCAGATATCGGAAGATGAAGGAGCGCCTGGGGCTGACGGAGATCCGCAAGCAGGCCAACAGGATGAGCTTCGGGGAGGTAATTAACCCTAGTTAACGCTAATTAACCCCCCAAAATCCCCTTGGAACCCCTAAATCCCTTTTGAGCCCCCCTAAAATCCCTTTTTTTCCTCATTTATTCCCAGATTTCCCATTTTTTATCCCTTTTTTCCCTCAGATCAAGGAAGAGGCCTACCAGAAGGGCCTGGGCTTCGGCCTGGGCCTCTTGGGACTCCTAAACCCCATTTTTCACCCCTAAAACCCCATTTTTCCCCCTTTAACCCCATTTTTTCTACTTTAACTCCCCTAAAATCTCATTTTCTCCTCATTTTTTCCCAGATTTCCCATTTTTTATCCCATTTTTCCCTCAGATCAAGGAAGAGGCCTACCAGAAGGGCCTGGGCCTCTTGGGAGCCCTAAACCCCATTTTTTATCCCCTAAAACCCCATTTTTCCCCCTTTAAACCCCATTTTTTCTACTTTAGCTCCCCTAAAATCACATTCTCTCCTCACTTTTTCCCAGATTTGCCATTTTTTATCCTGTTTTCCCCTCAGATCAAGGAAGAGGCCTACCAGAAGGAACTTGGGTTCAGCCTGGGTCTCCTGGGACACTTGAACCCCGTATTTCCCCTCTTTAGCCCCATTTCTTTCCCTTTAACTCACCTAAAATATGTTTTTTACTCATTCTCACTAAATTTTCCTGGGTTTTTATCCCATTTTCCCTCATTTTTTCCTGTTTTTCCCACTTTTTCCCCTCAGATCGAGGAAGATGCCTACCAGGAGGATCTCGGTTTCAGCTTGGGCCTCCTGGGACTCCCTAAACTCCATTTTTTTCCCCTTTAATCTCATTTTTTCCATCCCAAATCTTTTCTTTTTCCCCCAAATCCCATTTTTTACTCATTTTTCCCCATTTTTCCCCTCAGATCGAGGAAGATGCCTACCAGGAGGATCTTGGTTTCAGCCTGGGCCACCTGGGCCCTTAAACCTCATTTTCCCCCCTTTACCCCTATTTTTACCCTCGAAAATCCCATTTTTTCCACATTTTTCCCAATTTTCTCACTTTTCACCCCATTTTTCCCCTCAGATCGAGGAAGATGCCTACCAGGAGGATCTCGGTTTCAGCCTGGGCCACCTGGGCCCCTTCAACCACCTTTTCCCCAGTTTAACCCCACTTTTACCCTCTAAAATTTCATTTTTTACTAATTTTTCCCAATTTTCTCACTTTTAACCCCATTTTTCCCCTCAGATCGAGGAAGATCTCGGTTTCAGCCTGGGCCTCCTGGGCCCTTCAACCCCATTTTCCCCCTTTAACCTCACTTTTTCCCCCTCAAATCTCTTTTATTTTTCCAAAATCCAATTTTTTACTCATTTTTCCCCATTTTTCCCACTTTTTCCCCTCAGATCGAGGAAGATGCCTACCAGGAAGATCTCGGTTTTAGCCTGGGCCACCTTGGCAAGTCCGGCAGTGGCCGCGTTCGCCAAACCCAGGTCAACGAAGCCACCAAGGCCCGAATCAGCAAAACCCTTCAGGTACTTCATCAAAACCCCCTTTAATTAATTATAACCCGCCCTAATTAGCATAATTAGCATAATTAATGGTTGATGAACCCTCRCAGAGGACGCTGCAGAAGCAGAGCGTGGTTTATGGAGGAAAATCCACAATTCGGGATCGCAGTTCGGGCACGGCCTCCAGCGTGGCCTTCACCCCCCTGCAGGTGGGAATTGGGGGATTTTAGGGGG